GCTTTCTGGTCATTTGTCAGTGTGCTTTCATCTCTATATGGTCTCTTTTTTGGTTTGCCTTTCTTTACATCTGACATCGTTAAGCCTTCATATTCTGTTAAATCATACATCTTTATTTCAGTAAGATTCTTTATGTTTGTCAAGAAGAAGTCATAGTGCATTTCAACAATACCTGCAGCATTTGCTTCTATCTCTGATATAAAGTTCTCCTTCAAGAGCTGATGTAGTAATGTTCCAATATTATTGAGGTTTAACGTAGAACATTCATACTTTCCACCAAGTTTATAACATACCATCCATCTTTGTTGTGAGTTTATTTTAATTTTCTCTAAGAGTCTCATGAAAACCTTACCGAAATGTTTGTGTAAGTAGTCTCTGTTTGGTTCATCTAAAGCTTCGATGTTAAAGTCAATGAGTCTATTGCCTGACTTCACATTTCTCTTCCTATTCTCTTCATCTTTCTTTAACCATCTCTCACCTTCTTTTGGTTTGTCGTCAATGGAACGAATGACATCGTTAGCTTTGCGAACTTGTTCTATAGCACTTTTAAACATCTCTCTTCTCTGTTGTTTCAGTGTGTCGTCTCTTCTTCTTGTTTCACCAACGTTCGCATTTGTTATGTCAAACATCTCTTGACGAACATCATGAGAAAGAGCTTTACGAGTATGACCAACGTTCGCATTTGTTATGTCAAACATTTCTCTTCTTACTTCATGAGGTACTGAACGTCTATGATATAAGTCAATAGCAATGTCATTTAAAGGAAATGCTCTTGCATGGACTTCGTCCTCGCCGCGTTGCGGCTTTATGAACTCATGAATTCTATCATAACTTATTGCACCATTATAGTCATTGAGGATGTCAGCGAGTGCTTTTTTGTTTGTTGCGTAATGTTTTGCAACATCTATATTAGCTTCTGCAAGAAGTTGTTTTATTTCCGAGTGTTCTAACTTAGACAACTTCCGATACATCTTTAGTAGGAAATAAAAAAATATTTTTTGAAAAAATTAGATTAGATTTTTTTTAAGTTATTTTTCAAAATAATTTAATATTTTTATTTTAATGAAACACATGCAAGATTGCAAGTTCTTTTCATACAATGCTCTCGCTACTGCCATCAAGAATGAGTTCAATGGTGCTTCAAACGTTAATGTTATCTTTAACAAGAAGTTTGTGAAAGAATCTAAGTTTGGTCAGTATGTCAGACCATTAGCTATTGTCATTGACCGCAAACGTTATACTTCACAAGAGTTAGCAGTAGTTTTGAAACAAAAGAGTATCTTCGTGAATGTCAAAGATACTCATTATACTGTTATAAAGAACTCTAACATTGACTTCTTCAGTATTGCTATGAATCTTTCCGAACAGAAAGAATATAAGAAGGGTGAAACAAATGTGAAATATTATCCTTCATCTCTGAAGACAATAACGAACAAAGATGTTATACAGAAATTCTTACCAAAGGTTGAAGAAGCTTCAATTGACATTGACGAAGGAAGTGAAATGGTTGAAGAAATTGACCCTGAAGCTATTTAAGCAAAAATATATTTTTGGTGAAGAGGTGAGATTTCACCTGTTTTTTCACCTCATTCTCTCTTCGTTAATGTTGTCGTGACTTCTTCGTTAATGTTGTCGTGACTTCTTCGTTAATGTTGTCGTGACTTCATTCTTCCTCTTTGAAGTTATCGAAATATTCTGTTATTTTTTCCTTCAGTAATGGTAAGTCTTCTTTGAATGTAAGTATTGTGCAACCTTTGATGTCATAGTGTGTTTGAGGAAGAGTATTTTTGACAATTTCCTTTATTTGCTCATTCGGTGTCATTGAAATCGGTAAGTTTTCACGATAGAACCAGTTTCTGTCAGATTTGTAAATCTTAGCAAGGTCATAAAAGCTTTTGTTGTTTCTTCTGACTAAATGCAACATAACCATATCTCTGTCTTCTTCATTTTCCATCTCTTCAGCGTAAATCATATACTTATAACTCTTTTCCTTTCCTTTTGGTACTGAACGTGGTATTCTTTTCTGTATGCTTTTGTCTTTGGATTCAATGACTTCATCTTTTGCTTGAAGTTTCTTTTCCATCTGTTCGCGTTCTTGTCTGTGAAGTTCGTCAAGAAGTTTGTAAATATTCCAAGCATAACGTGGTGAAGCCCACATTGCAACTGCATTTACTAAAAGTCTATGAACATAATATCCTCTCAAACCGTTTGGCAATTTTTCACGGTTTTCATAGAGTTTTGGCGACTGGGATTTTTTACCTACTCGCTGTTCTTCACTGTTTTCAGAAAAAAGTACGTCTCGCTGTGCTTCACTTAATAGTTCTATGGTGCTTTGGTTCCTAAACCAGTCTTTAGGAAGCTTAGTATCTGGAGCAAAACAAGCCGTCAAAATACTTTGCATTTGGTACATGTCGTCTTTGACAGAACGAATGAGTCTCAATTGTTTGTTATATTGTATGTACTCGTATTCTTCATTTATGACTTCATGAACGATAGCAGTTGTTGTGTTCTCTAATGTTGACATTACTGTCTTTACATACAAAATAAAAAAATAAATAAAAATAAAATTAGCGTTTTTTTTCTATCTTAAGGAAATTCATGAAATTTGGTCATTTTTCAGCAAAAATATATTTTAGGTGAAGAGGTGAGATGTCACCTGTTTTTTCACCTGTTTTCTCACCCTAGTTTTTTCACAAGCGTTTTACATGAATTGTACGATGTATATTTGAAATCCTAAACAATTTCGTAGCTTCTATTTCTTCTGTCAGTATGTCAAAAGTTTTAACAATACCGAAGGTTTCTTTATACTTCTTCTTGACGTCAGATAGAAGGAAATCTTCTGCTGTTGGATAGTTTTTGTTCAGAAATTCTAACATGTTCATTTTATCTTCTGCTGGCTTTTCTGCTTCTTTCTTTAAGTCTGCATAGTCGTTTCTCATTCTTTCTATCTCTTTGACTGAGTAGTTATATTTCCTAATTGCTGCCTTACATTTTGAACATTGCGGGTTCATTTTTGCGTTATACATTGAAATAAAACCAGCTAAAACAACTAAGGCGTCAATTGCTCTCTTCATCTCAAACATAGCGGGTCTTATTTGTTCGTTCCATACTTTGCCTCTTCTATCTTTATCTCTTATTTCCCAAACACATTTTGCAACTAACGAAACAAAGTTGTCGTAGGTCTTAAATTCTTCAGATTTATATATGTCAGAAACATTCTTATAAACCATGTCGCAATCTTTGTCCATAACTTTATGGTTGCAATGAAAACCAAGGAATTCATAATTTACTTTACGTATGAACTTCTTTATTTCTACTGAGTCAGTTGGTTTCACTTCAATTTCGTCGAATTCAGGAATAGTGAGTTTTTGTTGTTGGATTTCAGGCAATTTGGGTAAATGGTCAATAATGTCCTGCATTTCATAAAGATATTCTTCATTTTCTTCATCTTTCGCACTACAGTCTAAATTACTTGTTAAAAGTTCCTGCTTAATTTTTTGTATTTCTGTTTCGAAAGTATATGAAGAAGGAATGAAGTTTTTCATCTCTACTAACATTGACGTAGGATTCATGACTAACGAGTTTGGTGCTGTTGTTGTGGACAGAGTCCCGCCGTTCGCGGCTTGAATTGTTGTTGTGCCGATTGTTGAAATCATATCTTTTATACAAAATAAAAAAATAAAAAAAATAAAACTAACTTTATTTTTTATTTCGGGAAAATTCATGAGGTGAGAAAACAGGTGAAAAAACAGGTGACATCTCACCTCTTCACCTAAACATTATTTTTGGTGTAAATTTATGACAAAAATAAATGGTACCATTAATAATACATGACTGTTCTCATTCATGTCTGATTTACATCTAATGAAAAAGTTTAGAAGAATTTTCTTATTCTTTCTGGCATATTTTTGTCTTTCCAGTACTCCCGCTCTAATGGTCCCAGATGTGTTGGCTTCGACTCTCTCAAGTTCTTAGATGGTATAACATCTTCAACGCCTCCTTCATATCTTACTTTATAAGTGTCATCGTTTGTGTTATAGCCAAGTATTTCAATAACCACTCCTCGCTTTGCTTCGTCAATGGTTTCAGCAAGTTTGCCATTACTACTTTCGACTAATTTATGTCGAGGATAAAACGCAATAGAGTCGTCGGCAGCTTTTATAAGATATCCATTACCTTGCGTAGAGTCTACAATATAATAATTTCGACTTAACCTTAAACGTTTCTTTGTCAACGGTTTGTCGTCAAGAACTACACGAACTTTTGTACCAGGAATGAGGGTAAATTGTGTTGAATTTCTGATATTTTGTGTTTGGCTTCGTTTCTTTTGTATATACTTTTCTTCTTGTTGTTGTGTCATTGAATTTGGTGTATGTCCTGTTGTAGAATGTGTTGAGGAATTATATACTTCGAGAAAATGTTTCATTGTTTCTTCGGTAAAGTCTCGCTCTTGGTTTAAATCTCTGAGAGTCCTTATGAAGCGGTTTATGATGCCGAGTATGTTATGGTTATGGTCTTCAGTAGTGTAGTGAGTTATGTTATGCTTAATGAGAAATTCTGTGATTTCGTTGCTGAGGTATGCACCGTCTTGGTCTGATGTTAAAATACTTGGGCTATGTTCTGCTACAAACTTTTGTAAAACTCTTAACACTTCATGAGTTCCTTTATTTTTCATTGGATATGCATATGCTTTACGAGTGTTAACATTTATGAAGATGAGGAATGGTTTATGGCCACATTTTCTGCTTTGAATGAGAGTGTCAAATTGGTATGCGTCAGGAGTGTTGGAGTAAATTGGTAAAAAGTAGTCGTAAGGGTTTATTTTTGTTTGATGTACAACATTTTTGTCAAAGAACCTTTTCACTTCAGCTCTGTTAGTAAATCCCCGACTCTTTGCAGCTTCATTGAACTTCTTAAATGACCTCCATGGATGTTGTTCGAATACTTCTTTCAAGCTCATTTATGTAAAGTTAAAGATTTTATTCTAGGCTCAAGCGCGTTCATTGAACGCGGTACCATGCAAATACAGTCACAAATGGTGGCATGTAATCTGCACCCGAGCCTGTTGGATTTGTTGTGAAAGTATGGGCATGATTTCCTGCGGTTCCACAGAAAATACCTGCGCTTGAATCTACTGGGTCACTTGAAATATCATATCTATGCATTCCCTGTCTATCCGAACCTGCTGCAAGATTTGTATAACCTCTTTTTGTTATTGAATGTGAATGACTACCTGTTGTGTTTGTAGTTCCTGTATGAGTGTGCGGTGGAAGGTTTGCTTCAGTAATTTTCTTCGAACCTCCTGTTTGCTTTGAAGAGTTAGCACAGTATAAGAATTTATCTACAATCTGTTCCCACGTACCGAAACCCAGAACTGTTGCTGGATTTGTTGAGTTCATTGACGTATAAATAGAGCCTATAGGATATAATGTTTGAAGCATTTCTGTCTTTAATGTTTGAAGCTCTGTTTTGTCTGCTTTCTTGTCATATAAATCTTGAGCAGTGAATTTAATATTATGTTCATCCTTCATGACATAAACATCTTTACATCTAATGTTTCTCATCGTCGTTATGTCGTCATCCGATGTTAAACCTTGTGGAAAGTTAGGAGGTTTACAATATATTGCATCCCCACCAGTTTCTTCAACCGTTCCTTCAATACTTTCTATAGCAACAGTTGAGAAGGAGTTATGTGTATGGTTCTTGTCTGCTTTCTTATCTAACATTGCTGGTAGTTCATATGTTTCAAAGTTTCTGACATGACCTTTGATATTTATACATTTGTTATTTAAGGAGTTTAGTGTATCTTTTACGCTTGTACTTGGATTCTCTAAAGGTGCACTTGAACCAAGGGTATAGTTCAATATTATGTCGTCTGCTCTAACAGTAGTGAAGGATTTATGTGTATGGTTCTTGTCGGCTTTACTGTCTAATGTAGCTTGAAGTTCATTTATATCGGAGATGCTGTGTTTATGAGATTTCAAAACTTTGTTCATTGCTTCGAGTTCAACTTTGTCAGCTTTACTTTTAATAGCATCTTCAAACGTTATTTTTGACTTAACTCTCAAAGTAAATCTTGGTTCAACTAATACACCGTTAACATTGAAAGTAGAGGCATAAATTTCACCGGTATAACCAAATGATTGTGGTGCTATACCTGTGTCATACTGTACAGTACAGTGTATGTCATAACCTTTAGCACGAATGAATTTATATCTTCTTTCATTAACATTTTTCGTATTCACTTTTTCACCCTGTGTTAAATATCCATGATAGTCCGTTATAATCTGTTCATCAGAACTTATATAATGAACATGGTTTTTGTCTGCTTTATTGTCTAAAGAAGTTTGAAGTTCATTTATATCGGAGATATTGTGTTTATGAGATTTCAAAACTTTGTTCGTTGCGTCAAGTTCATTTTTGTCCGCTTTACTATTTAATGTAGCTTGAAGTTCATTTATATCGGAGATATTGTGTTTATGTTCTTTATCTGCTTTTTCGGCTAATTTCTCTTCTATCTCATTTATTTCAAGTTCATGCCTACCACCACCTCCCGAAGAAGTATTTTTCTTCAGCTCTTGAAGAACGTCCACTTCGCCATCTTTGGTGTCAATAATGAGACTTTGAGTTAAAACCTTTCCTGTCTTAATGGATGTTTGTAAAACTTCTTCTTCACCGTGTTCGGGGTCATGGTCGTCGTCATATCTTGTGAAATCAGAGATGTTGTCATACATTAAGCATATCTGTCTCAAAAGTTCTGCTATTTGGAATTGGAACGAAAGATATACAGAACTTTCATCATCTCCTAAAGTCAAGTCTGCTTTCTTAAGTATTTCTTGAATGTATGCAATGAGAACAGAGTACCTTGGAAAATATTCGAACAATATTTCATTAGCTGTTGGTTTTGGTGGTTCTTCTGGAGTTTCTGTTGTTTCAGTTCCTTCTGTTGGAGTTTCTGCATCTCTTGACTTCAATGCTCTTGCTCTCAAAGACCTAAATGTTAGAGCACCGGGTTTTACAAAGGACTTTATAAATGCTTTAATAGTTCCTGGTAAGTTATTGTTAGCATTAAGTAAGTTCCTTATGCTTCCATCATGTACGTCCATAGCACTATGTAAAAAATCTATACTTTTCTTGTAGTCAGCAATAGACTGACTGTGATTTTTTAAAGATTTGTCAATACCTTTAAGCCAATCTTCATGCATGTCTGATACTGAGCCAAGAATATCATTTGCTTCCTTTAGTGTATTTTGTGCTTGTCGTAAAGTATCCAATCCCGTACGTGCATTGTTTGCTATACGTCTTACAGTATCTATTTGACTCCTTGTTTCTTGCATCCAACCAGATAAAGTTTTAATAGTATCCGAACCATTTGAAATGAAGTTCAAAGCATTTTTAACGTCATTTAAAACTTCTTCACCAAGTACTGCCCATATCTTTCCGATTTGGTATTGAAGAACTCCATATGAAGCAGCTGTTAAACCAGTATTTATAAGGTCCCATATCCATGATTTAGCAGTTTTTCCATCCTTTCCATCCTTTCCATCCAAACCGTTTTCGCCTTGAGGTCCTTGTATTCCTTGTATTCCTTGTATTCCTTGTGGTCCTTGAGGTCCGGTGTCACCCTTCTCTCCTTTCAGTTCATCTTTATGTTCGTTATAATATTCTAATGTCATAAGGTGTACATCATTACTGCTACCAGCAACGCCAAGAATTTGTTTCTCATTCATGACTAAATTCTTTAAGCATTTAATGTTGTCGTCAAATCGAAAGCTCTTTAACAATTCAATGAGAACATTCAGTACTTTCACTAATGAGGCATCTACTGTAGAATTTATATATTGCACCGTTCCATCATTTATGATAGGAACTTTACTTATTGTAATGAATGGGTCATAAGTGTTAAAAGTATCGAAATCAATGACTTTTTTAGTTTTTCCATCGTCAATGACTAAATCATTGCCTTCAATGGTTAAAGTTGAGTTTTCGTTTACTAGTTCATGTGCTCTTCTTGCTTCATTTGTTTCATACGCATATGCAGCAATAGTCATATTTTAATGAGAATAAAATGTTGTTCTATTTGCAAAGTACAGACCCAAACGAATACGGAATAGTAAAGCTACAAACAAACTTAGGTCTTCAGAATGAAGCACTTGCTTTCAGAGTTGTTGACTTCAATACTATCGCAACTTTTGTCATAACAGATGAAACAGATTTCATGGAGTTTGAAATAGATGGAAAGAAGCACGAAATAAGATTTCACAATAATGTAGAATATAAGATGGAAACATTAGCTGGAGTGTTAAATGCTCTCATAAATACTACAATAAACAAGGATAACGAAGAAAACTTAATGAATGTTAAACTTATTGCAGGAGTTTTGAAGTTCAGTTATGCAAAGGAGTTTAAGATAACACGAATGAGTCATAGAGTTCAATTGCTTCTGGGTGCATACCATATGACATTTCCTTTGAAAAGTGTTGACAAAACGATTGAGATGAAATCTGTTCCATACGTATGTTATGGTAATTGTTTGTACATTGAGTCTAAAATAGCTAATGTCACAGGTATTTCAGGAGTTAATAGTAAAGGTTCAGTAGAATATAAGTCTTTCTGTTATGAAGTAAATTCAATGTTCATTCCAAACGTTCCTGTCATAGCAACTCATTTAGGTAAATGGGTTCGCATTAGTCCTCATAATTTGAAAGACATGCAATTCAGACTAGTTGACTTTCAAGGCGAGCCTGTAGAACTGAAGGCACCAGTGCGAATGACTGTTGAAGTTGACTTTTTAGAAAATATTAAATGCAACAGCTTACAAGAGAACTCAGAGCTAAAAATATAAAGTATGAATGTTATGTATTAGGTCATGAACTTTGGTTGTTGCTGTTTGATGAAACAAATGAGTTAGTTATGTCAGTCAAGAGAACAGAAAAAGGCGTCAAAGGCGCCGAGCGCAAAGCGCTATATTGTGTTAGTGAGAACTGCACCAAGTCAATAAGATTAGGTTTGCATTATGAAGATGAGTTCGATACTGTTGAAGAAGTTTTGGATAGATATTACAAATTGCTTTAATTTACTAAAACATATTTCAAACAAAGTTTATATTCTGTTGAAAGTTTTGTATATTCATTCGAATATTTATACTTAAACTCAACTCCTGTAGTTCCTGGTGTTTCAATGATGCGGATGTTACCTATTTTCATGAATGGTGGCGTTTGACCACAGCATTCGATTTCAGGGTCGAGATAGTCAATGACACATTGTTTCCCTGTTATTCGTGAGATAACATTTTCAAGGTCCTCCTTTGTTAGAATTATTTGGTTCTTACTTATAAGATTTGTCAAAAGCTTCTTATCGTCTTTGAGTAAAATTGTTTGGTATAACTGAAGAAGGTAATGGTCTACGTTATCTGAAGGATTTGTTTGAACATTTGTGTAAGGGTTGTCGTTGGCTTCTCTTGAAAGAATTTGGTCCAGTGGTGGATACTCTAACTTAACATCTGATGTAGCGTTAGCGTTTGAAGCTGAGTTTAAATTCACGGATTTCAGTTCTGGTTCTTTTTCTTTCAAACACTCTGAACTATAGTTCTTTATGACAATATTGTTTGTCGTTCGTGAGTCAACATTTGATGTTGGTTCAATTGGAACATTAACGGCACCAGCTAAGATGGATTTGCTTCTCATTTCATATAGAATAAAAACCTTTTATATGTATGAAATGAACAATATACTCGACAAGGGTTTGAATGTAAAGCTAACGAATGAAAATATTGTTGAATTCACTGAGACAGGAGCTGTGTATAAAGATGTAGAACTACTGAACAAAAGAGCTAAGGGAAGAAGCAGGAACATGAACAAAGGGTGGAAGCCTATAAAAATTTATGTCAATGATGGCTCAGGAGGTTCAAACATAAAGTATGCAGAAAGTTATAGAGTTTATGCTCTCAAAGGTGAAAAGCCTTCATTTAAGAACAGCTATTCTAACGCATATCCTCAAAAGCTAACGGATGGAGAAGTGGATGATATGAATGACAGCAAAAATATTAACAGAAATGGCGACAGAGATGCATGGAATTTGTTTACCATCAGTCAATTGAAGGTTAAACTTTAAAACAATGTTGGTCGTTCCCATGGAATATTTTTGACTTTAATGGTATTAGTCATGATATGAATCTCAAGGTATGAACGAGGAGAGATGAGAGACTTATATGCTTCCCAAATTTCTTCAAAAGGTAATGTTATACCTGACTGTTTCCAAATGAGTTCAATATCATAACGTGAGAAACCTTGAAAGATAACGAAGTCAGTTATGAGACGTTTTATGTTTAAAGCTAAAAACCTCCATGTTTGCATAAGTATTGCTACAGTTAAGTGGTAATGTCTGACTTTAGTAATGATATTAGCTAATGGTGAGTCTGGTTTTGACACTAAACCTTTTCCGGCGAAGTCGTCGCAAACGAGCAGAGTGTTTGAAGGATATTTTTTGAAGGGGTATTTTGAAAGTTTTGATAGAATGTAGTTTGTCAGTCGTTTCATATCGTAAACTCCTGAGTACTGACGTAAGTGGTGTTTGTCAATAATTCTTTCCATCTCCTCAGAAGTCTTTTGCATTCCTGACTGTATAAATTCAACGATGGCATAATATTTCCTCTTACGTCGAATGTAACGTTGAAGAAATTCAATGAGTTCACTGTCTGGAACTTTAACGATAGAGGCTTGAACTT